GCCCCACTGTATGATTAAAAGAAGCAGAAAGAAAATACAGAAAACTTTTGATGGAAAAAAAAAAACTAAAAAAGAAGCCTCTATCAGAATGAACTGAGTTAAAAATAAAAGAGATGAAATTATTTGGGATGAAAATGAAGTGATGGACTGCTGGAAGTGGTATTTTAGGGATTTGTATGGGAATTATAGTGTTGTATGTTTGGCATCTGAGAAGAAATATGTGAAAAGAAAAATGATTAAAAATGGTAAGGCTGCAGATATAGGCAGGATAATAAAAAATGTTAAAATATAGTGTGCTTTGGTTAAGGAGTGATGTGCAACTTGTTTAAGTTGCAAGTTGTACGAAGATAACATCTATGCCTCATTTTTCCCCCATACAAAGGGAAAAGGTAGTAAGAGTGAAGTGTGCCTGGGAAGGTACAAAATTCTGATTGAAAGGATGTAAAAGGCAACAGTGAGCAAAATTTGGAAAATACAGTGTGGCTTTATGCTGGGCCGTGTGTTGTGCAGACAAGATCTTTGCTCTTCAGCACATCATTGAGAAATGTATGTATGTAAGAGAAATATTTGATTTAGAAAAAGCATATGATACAGTGAATAGGCTTGAACTGTGGAACATTCTGTATAAAAACAGTATTGCAGGTTGGTTGCTAAATGAAGTAAAAGCAGTGTGTGGTGGGACTAAGCATAATTGAGAAGAGATAAAATGCTTAGTGGATGCTCAGTGCATTGAGCAGGGAGTAAGACAAGGGTATATATGTGATATCCTGTTGGTAATTAAGTGATGGACAGATGTATGAGGAATATATGCGGTGACATTAGAAGTATATTGGTTAGGATTGTCAGTATATGTCCACATTTATATGCAAATAATGCTGTGTTCTTGGCTATGAACTTGAATAATTTGCAGTGAATTTTAGTTAGATTGTATAATTCAGCAAACAGTATGGATTTGGTAATTAATGTATCAAAGACCAAAGTAGCTGTGTTTGAGAAGAAAAAATGGAGTGAATATATGACAGAAAACTAGAGCAGGTAAAAGAATTTGTGTATCTTGGGGCAATGTTTGTTAAAGATAGGAAGCTTTTGGACAGATGCCAATTTAACAGTAGAGGCCATATCCAGTTATTGATTGATTTGAATGAAGCTGATTTTAATTTTAATTGTATTGATTTTATTATTGTGTTCTCTGGGTTTTTTTTATATAATTTTAAGCCTCCTTGAACGCTTATATAAGCAGAAGGCAGGGCATAAATTTTATAATTAAAAATAAATAATAAATTGTTGTTGATATTCATACTGAATTGGGACAAAATGTGATGACTTTTCCTCCAAAAGGGTTTCTCTTGATAGCAAACATCAAAACCTTGGTATTTGCTTTCTGGAGAAAAAAATTCTGGAACAGTTTAGTAACTTATTGATTTGCTCTGTAACTGAGGCAGGATGATTAGACATACAGAGATTACAATATTTTTGTTGACAGTTTAAAATTATAAACAATATGTTCTGAGATTCAGTGCATCTCTTGGGTCTTCTTTATTCTCCTTAAAAAACACTACTTCCTCCTCCCCCATACCATTGGAGATCACTCTTAGTCTGGGGAGAGACATAGTAGGCTTGGACCATTTGCTTTGGATGGTTGAATTAAATGATGGTAGTTATATTGGCAGATGAAGTTGCTTCATGCTTGCATTTTCTTCTGCAGTAAATGAGAGGAGTGCTTGAAATTGCTTTATTTTAATTTTTACCAGGTATCATTAAGATAGGTAAGCCATTGCGACATTTTCAATAAAGAATGAACATGACACTGAAAGAAACTGTATTAGGCATAGTAGTACTGTCCAATGAAAGTTAGAATTAAAATGTACACTCTGTCTGAAAAGACTTTTATGTTATTCTTTATTGAGCTGCTTCCTACTTATCTGTGGAGAATGTATAAATAATACTAGTGCTAGGAAATCTCTGCCTTAAATAATGCAGAAAATTGTTTCCAGTCCTTGGACAATGCATCTGACAATTAATGCAGTATTTGAAATTAACGGTGTTGCTCTTTCTTAGTTTTTAGCATATATGTAATAGCTGTAATGAGCCAGGTCAGCTTTATATAAACAGCTTTTCCTTTTCCTTTCACATGATTAGATTTGTCAGATAAGAAAATTGTAACTCTTAAGGCATATAAAGTGCTTAGTTCCAAAGAAGAGTAAGCACAGCATTGCTGATACAGCAGACCTTTATTCATGTGTTTTTTTTAACGTTCTCAAAAGCAGGAGAAAGTCTAGTATATTGTGAGAGTTAAAACTGTGCTATACAGTATACATATGGGGGATTTCAAGTAATCTTTCTTACTCATGGGACTTCTTGGATCCAAGTGAGTGTTTCTAAATGAGGATTTCATAGCCTAGCTAGCCTTATAAATAAATACTGATGATTAATCTGTTTATAGGGTTCTGATGATTGTCTTGTGAAAATCTGGGCAACAGATGATGGAAGGTTGCTTGCTACTTTAAGAGGGCATGCAGCGGAAATATCAGACATGGCTGTTAATTATGAGAATACCATGATTGCTGCAGGGAGCTGTGACAAGATGATCAGAGTGTGGTGTCTTCGAACATGTGCTCCTTTGGCTGTTCTACAAGGCCACAGTGCATCTATAACATCTCTACAGGTAAGATAGATTAGTAAGATTTAAGATTTTGGAAAGCAAACTGACCAAAAAGGAAGTACAGTGGTTTAAGCTGCCTGATTCATGTTCTTTTTCATTTGCAATGCTTTGACTAGTTATGTATTTAAATAAGGCAAGCTTGTCTTTGATAAAAAAAAGATAAATGCATTAGATCTAGATACATTTATGATTGAATTACTTGTTGTTTTTGTTATTGTGAAAAAATAAAACCAGGGAAGAAGGCAAAATGTATCATCATACATTAAAAAAAAAAAAACCCTGTGTGTATGGGAGAGAGAACTGTTGCAAGGAGTTTTTTGACAGAGCATTACATTTGGTTGAAACTAGCTTTTTATAGAAGTGGTGGTAATGACATTTCAGTATATTCCAGATCATTTGATCACTCATTTCCTTGCTTGCTATAAATCAAAGAATTACCAAATAGCTTTCTTTGTTTTGCAGTTTTCTCCCTTGTGCAGTGGCTCAAAGCGATACCTGTCTTCAACCGGTGCAGATGGCACAATATGTTTTTGGTTGTGGGATGCTGGCACTCTTAAAATCAAGTTAGTTTATATCTCCTGTTCTTGTAAGAAATGAATGTAATATTTTGAAAAATTGAAGTTGCTTTGTAATGAGCTTTCAAAAGCTAGAAGTTTTTTGTTTTGTTTGCATTTGTCTGTGAACATGAAATATTGTATCAAAAACAGTTATTTAAAACTTGTTTTTCTGTGAAAAGAAAAATAGATATTTCTGATTTATAAGTTTAGGATTTATAAATGCAGTTGGCCATGTATTGAAACTAATTGTGTCAATTATTGTGTCATATTGGTTACTTCTGTGTCTTGGAAACACTAAATGCAACTTGATTATTAGTAGGGCTGTGCAGCGCTTCAGGTATGATATCCAAAATATACTTTGAAGGATGTGCAGTATGAATGTAGTACCAGTCTCCAACACCTTAAATCAGCTGCTTTTGCACTCCCACATGATCTATTATATCTGTTGCAGATTGAATCCTAAGCACTTTATAGCCTACCCTTTCTCCTGAAAACTTCTTGATGCTTAGCCAACCGTTCAACACAGCTAAGTAGCAGCACATAGCTAATCTTGGTTGATCTTGAAAAGCTAAGCAGAGTTGGATCTGATTAGTACTTGTATGGGTGATTATCAGGAAATAGCATAGCTGTTGATTAGAAAAGGAAGTCATATATTCTGGAAAAAAGTATTGGTAACCACTTCCATTTTGTTGCCAAGAAATCTATATGGACGTGTCCATGAAATCGTTAGTTGGTCTTAACTCAAAGGAGACTCTAAGTGGAAATCCATTAATTTTATAGTTTAAATTATTTTCAGTTTCTTGAAAATGGTGCAGTTGTGTTGTGTAAAGGAATGTCAGCTGTATGACCATAGGTTTTAGATTGTGCTGATAGTTTAGAAATACCTTAATTACAAAGCAATACACTCATACTATGCATTCTTGTTCAGGATATATACTAATTATGAAATAGGCTATGTCTGAACCTAATTTAAATCAATGATTTAAGTCAGTACACTTTAGTTTTCCTGTAATAGAGCTCTTAAAAGGTTTGGTATATGTCAACAGGTGTTCAGAGATACACAATAGATAGATATACCAGAGATTATAATGAGGCTGCAGTTCAACAATGCATACCCTTTGTGGATGTCCAGGTATATAGTTCAAAATTTTTATTACATGTGGCAGAAGCCTATGGGGTTTGAGTTTGATTCAACAGGAATAAATCAAGATGGTCAATGCCAGTTGGTGATGTTGACCTCCCCTGCTTCAGCAAGGATGAACAGAAGTGTCTTCCACTCATAAAATGACTTCAAAATCCAAACCAATTTGATTATAAAATATACTTTTTTGAATCAGGCCATTTGCTATGTAAATAATATAAATTTCATTGTGCCACTTAGCATGAATGATAGACAATTCTAAAACAGAAAGATTTGAGGGAGGTTCTCATTCAATTTCTCTCAGAAATGTTCTTTCATATTTATAGTTTAATCTTTTAATAATTACTGTGTAAATCAGTTAGCATTTTAAATTGCTTTTATATATTATATATTTTTAAAACTTTGCAGTCCAAGACCAACAAAGTTTACAGAACGTCCAAGACCTGGAGTCCAAATGATCTGCTCTTCATTTAGTGCTGGTAAGTTGCATAATTCCCCCTCCCCCATATTAATGGTATTACTGGTATATAATGAAAAATGTATATTTGAAAAATGCCCAGTATGATATTCATATTAAATGGCAACATTCTTAACTCATGCATAGGCAATTTACCTGCATTTTTGATAAATTTATATCCTACCTTTCTTCTGAGAGCTCAAGGCGACATACATGGTACTCCCACATTTTTCCCACAACAACAATCCTGTTGGATAGGTTGGACCAAGAGAAATTTTGGCCCAAACTCACCCATTGAGTTTCCATGGCTGAGGGTGATGAATCAGATTGTAGTATAACACCTTACCTTCTGCAACACACTGGCTCTCAAACATATGGTGTCCATGAAAGCTTATAATGTATAGAATTATGTAATAGTGTCAGAGTCCATTTTAAATGTTATATTGAATCCTAATACTTATTTGAAAATCTGTTGTGTAATAGAAAATAATTTTCGGAGGAGTCACATTCTGTTTCTTCATGGTAGAAGCACCCTAGAGCAAATTTGGGGAAATAGATGCATGATTGTAATAGAGAGCCAGTGTGGTGTACTGCTTGTTGCAATTAAATGGAACTAATGCTTAAAAAAAAAAAACAAGATGTAAAATTGTAGTACTACAGTAATTCTGCTTAGCAAATTGACAGTGACATTTCTTTCATTTTTGCTTTTCTTTAGGTGGAATGTTTCTGGCCACTGGAAGTACAGATCACATCATTAGGGTTTATTTCTTTGGATCAGGTCAGCCAGAGAAGATATCAGAGTTGGAGTTTCATACTGTAAATACCTCCTCAAAATTGATTAGCTATTTGTTTAAAGTAAAGTAATAACTTATAGTCATCTTGTTAATTTTTTTTTGTTCACACAGGACAAAGTGGACAGCATTCAGTTTTCTAATACTAGTAACCGGTAAGCAAATTATTTATATAATAACTTCATATTTTTCTCCCACTATGTTTAGGAAAACTGTACTGTTACATACCTACGAACATTTAACATGCTAGTTTAATTATCAAGTTTGATTTTTTTTTTAACCTAATATACCTTGAGCAATTGTTTTGATTTTGCATTCTGCAATGTACTTTATATTGTGTAGAACTTATTTTCTGTTAAATGTACATGATATTGAGCTTTAATTAATATTTGATAGCATTACTGTCTGATTTTAGCCTCAGGCTTGTTTATGAAAAATATATTTATCACTACATTCCCCAACCAACTTTGTTTCTGAAAGGTCTGATAAGAAAGCCTTGATTAATTTCATTGATACTTTCTTTATATTCCTGTATGTATATGTAGGATTATGCCAAGCTTTGAAAGGTGCTTTGATTTGGGAAAGCTTCATTAAAACCACACAATTAAAGTAGAAATCTATTTTGAAGTAATAAATCAGATAGCTACAAAAATATATGAAGATTTGAGACTTTTCAGTATGTCAGGAGTTGCAGTAGACAACGTAGTACATTGTAACATCATTTCTTTATGTAAAAGTTGCCAAGGAAATGTGAATGATGTTATGAGTTTTATCACCTTGTTAAGCCCTCTTCCCACCCAGCCTCTTTTAAGCTAACATTGCTTTGGTCTTCATTCACTTTTTCAGCTCTCAGCTTCTTTTCTGTGGCCTGTTCCAAATCTTAATTTTGCTATCCCTCGGGCTAATGGAATAATATGCTTCTGTGGTGGTCTTGCCACACAACTGGGAATTTAATTTAGCTCTCAGCACTCTGAATATGGGTTGAAGGCTGTTCAACCAGGTCTGTGCTATTGGGTGAGGCCTCACTTAAAAATTTGCCATGATTGGCCAAGGTTTACGTCTTCTGACAAGGAGGGAATGGATGCTGGGGTTAATCAGTGAGCTGGCTTGACCATTTACTTTTTTTTCTTTTTTAAGAATAGGGGTAGCAAGGTAGTGAACACTACTTTCTTTGTGCCAGCCTCTTTTTCTTTGGATTGCCTATCTTTGTGAGATGATTTTCATGGTGCCATTCTACTTCTGCTTCTAACATTACCAGTAAATCATAATTGCACAAATTAATTTTAACAGTGATGAGGGGATTCCTCCCAAGAGGTGACTTGTCAAGTCAACCAACCCAAGTTATTAATAAAGAAGTTCTGAGGGTGAGCCTTGCTTTTTAACCAATTGTGTCAGGCCTCCTAGGACCTCATAAAACTTATTGATTGCACCCTACTCCATAAAAGCAAGCTAACGGTCACTATTCACTATCATGCCTAGCATGCTACCCCTGCAAAGTAAGTGGAAAAGAACTTTTCAAATTGTTTTTGAAAGAGTTTGTTTTTAATTTGGAATCAGGCATTTGCTGCGTTGTTTCAGCACAATTTAAATTCTTTGCTGAACAATTTTGAGACAGTTTATTTTAAAAGAGACACGGGGGAATGTTTCCAAATTTATTTCAGGGAAACTTAGAAGATAGCAAGCTAAAATATGGCACAATTAAAGTCCTTTAACTGGTATTCAGTCATGCTGTACTTTATGTGTTGGTAAACGTACAAATATATATTACGTCAGATATATCTAACTATGAACCATTTTTAAAAAAATGTGAAATGGAAATGATCTCTGTACATGTGTGTAGATATATATATGCAAGAAATACATATTAACCGCATCTGAATATGTAAAACAAATTAAGCTATTATAAAAACAAACCAGTAGTAAAAACCATAATAAGTAAAAGCAACAATACTACAAAAACAGATTGATAATAACATACTCTATAAAAAACACATTGCAGATTCTAGAGTTTATTAAATGCTTAAATAAATAGTAATACCTTTGACTAGAGTCTCAAGGTCATCAAACAGGACAATGAATCACTAGGCAAGACTATTTCCTAATCAGTGTTCCGCAGCTTAAAAAAAAATCTTGTGTGTTATAGTCTCAATTCTAAAACTGAAACAATACTGGATAGGATCTCCAATGAAGGGCTAAATAGTAGGGTAGGTATATTTGGAGCAGGCAGTCTTTCAAGAAACTTGGTCTCAAAGCCAGGGTCTGAAAAGCTGTTGAGGGCTTTATTGACTAACACCTGCACTTTGAAATATACTTAGAAAGAAATGGAACCTAGTGATGATGCTTACGAATTGACATTGAATTCTGTTGCTGCCAATTTTTCCAAACTACCAGCAGCTTCACTGTAATTACTACTTACAAATTAATCTAAAAAGCTTATAGATGCTGTCATGTGGGTAAATACCAAAGACCATATCTAGTTATAGCATCTTACCAATTTCATAAATTACACTTTTTTAATTAAAGAAGAATTTTAATTTTTAGTTACCTCATATGTTTCTTAAATCTTTTGTACACAGGCTCACTTTTTGGTACTTGCCTTGTTTATATTACCTGCTTTTACTTGCTATCTTTCTGCCAGGAGCTTCACTATCTCATGCCTTTTAACTTGGATTTCCTTTTGTTCTAATTCCATTCATTTGGTGTAAAATTTATGAACCTATAAATTAATTATACTGCATAAGTATTGCTAGACTACAATTTGGATTTCTATGATCAGTTTTAAATGTTTTCAACATATTATGCTGAATGAGCAATATTATGTTTTCTCTTTTTTATTAGATTTGTTAGTGGAAGTCGTGATGGGACAGCACGTATCTGGATGTTCAAGAGAAGGGAATGGAAGAGCATTTTACTAGATATGGCTACCCGTCCTTCAGGGTAAGTTATTTTTGTATTTACCTACATATAATTTCGTTTTCTGGTATTGATGTTAAGGTAGAAATAACTTTGTGGTAAGGGAACAAACTATGGCTATTTCCAGAATTGCTTCCAGTTTTGAGTTTGTAGTTGGTGCAGTGAACTCCTGGCTTTTGGGAAACAATATTGTTCTCTTGAAACCATGATGGGTGAGATGGGGACTCTTAGAGAGCTGGAAAGATATGTAGATGAGATTTTCCAAGATGTAGTAGCTTTGTTCAACTTTCAGAATCACAGCTCCCTCACTGTCATTTCAAAAAGAAAGGAAATAGGAAGGACCCAGGGTGTGAACTGGAGTTTACTTTCACTTGTAGTTAATTATATCTATCTATATTTTACTTGTCTAAACTGAAAAAAAAAGAAGAAATGGCTAGAAGAGGTCCTTTGGAGCAGCTGTTAGACAATAAAATAACTCCTTTGTTTACTCCAGTCAGTGTTTGCTGAACTAGGAGCTAAAGTTAAGTCCCTTGAAAAAAAGATAAAGAATCAATTAAGATGATTAACTTTGAAAATGAGGTGGAGACTGAATTGAACGTGGAATTGGAGTTCAAAAAAAATGTTGGACTATGAAGGTGGTATGAATAAAGAAGCTGTGGATTTAAACTTGGATGTAAGATGGCCAAAGGATGATATGGAAAAAGATGCCAGAATGGAAGTACAAATGGAATCAACAGATGTCACAGTGTTCAAAGGGGACATACAAATAATGTATGAGTGATTTGGAAAGATTTGTTATCCTGGACTTGCAAAAGGAATACAGTGGGGCAAAAAAATATTTAGTCAGCCACCAATTGTGCAAGTTCTCCCACTTAAATGGTTTCATCTGACCATATGACATCCCCATTTTGTCTCTCATAGTTGAGGTCTACCTATGATGAAAATTACAGGCCTCTCTCATCTTTTTAAGTGGGAGAACTTGCACAATTGGTGGCTGACTAAATACTTTTTTGCCCCACTGTATATTGCATCAGTGAGACTTGGTTTCATCTGACCATATGACATCCCCATTTTGTCTCTCATAGTTGAGGTCTACCTATGATGAAAATTACAGGCCTCTCTCATCTTTTTAAGTGGGAGAACTTGCACAATTGGTGGCTGACTAAATACTTTTTTGCCCCACTGTATATTGCATCAGTGAGACTTGGTTTCATCTGACCATATGACATCCCCATTTTGTCTCTCATAGTTGAGGTCTACCTATGATGAAAATTACAGGCCTCTCTCATCTTTTTAAGTGGGAGAACTTGCACAATTGGTGGCTGACTAAATACTTTTTTGCCCCACTGTATATTGCATCAGTGAGACTTGGTTTCATCTGACCATATGACATCCCCATTTTGTCTCTCATAGTTGAGGTCTACCTATGATGAAAATTACAGGCCTCTCTCATCTTTTTAAGTGGGAGAACTTGCACAATTGGTGGCTGACTAAATACTTTTTTGCCCCACTGTATATTGCATCAGTGAGACTTGGTTTCATCTGACCATATGACATTTTTAAGTGGGAGAACTTGCACAATTGGTGGCTGACTAAATACTTTTTTGCCCCACTGTATATTGCATCAGTGAGACTGTTTCTGGGAAGAGTCAAAGAGAAACTACTGGAGATGTTTCTGGGGGAAGACAAGAAGATGATGGGGAATCAACTTGTGGGACATTATATGAAAAGATTAAAGTTTAAGCTTTTTAAAAGTAAACAGAAGGTTTACAAAGTGAATTTATTGGACTATGGTTAGCATATATGCTGAGATTCTTGGTAGTTAATAATGGGATTGATTTTTGTGACCAGGATTGAATGACAGTGTTTTAAGGATCTTGGTATAAAGTTAACTAAGGTTAAAATATATTTGTTATTAAATTTATGGAATTTCTGCTCTTATATATGACAGTAGTAGTAAGGATTTTATATGCATAAAGGTAGAAGGCTATGACTTCTATAATTTTATTTTTATATATGATAACAGCAGCAAGGTTTTTAAATGCATAGAGGTGGAAAGATAAGACATTATCTATAGTGGAAGAATGGTCTATGAAGTCGATGGAGTTGGCTGAGATAGTGAAATTGATGGGTTTGGCTCAAGATAAGACATTGTGTAATTTTAGTGTTAATTGGATTTTTTAAAACTTTTTGTGGGACATAGTAAAATTATGTTGTATGGGTCTGATAATTAGAAATAATATGGGTTAATATAAATAATGGAAGTTATGTTGTAAATTTAGAGTTTGATGTTTATTACTTACATCTGTTGCAGGGTAGATTGGAAGTCAATTATTTTTTTCCATCTTTTTCCTTTCTGTATTTTGCTTTTTACTATTTTCTTTTTTTTCCAATTCCTTCTTTTTTTATTATTTTCTTTCTTAATATTAGTTTTGGTTTTTACTATTCTTTTAAAAAAATTAATAAAGTTATTATTTTAGAAAAAGGAAATAGGAAGGACCCAATATGAAAGGGCTTTTAGTTATGGATGATTTAGATACCAGTAACCCAGAGATAAACCCATTATGATTGTGTCAGTTTCATGGTGATGTGAAGGATGCAGATATCACATACTGCTTAGATAAGATGCTGGATGATGCTGGGGAGGAGGCAGTGGTTCTGTTCCACATAGGCACTGATGACCCTGGAAAATATAGTTGACCAGTTCTCAAAGCCAGGTTTAGCCTGAAAAGTAACAGATTAAAGTCTGCCAGGTTTTCCAGAAATGCTACCTGTTCCACACATTGGGCCATAGACAGTCAGAGCTCACAGGTCTGAATAAATGGATAAGTCAGTGGTGCCAGGTAGAGGGGGTTAGATCAGTTAGGCACTAGAGAACTTTTGGTGGGGGGATAAGTCGAACCTGAAGTGGAACTGGAATGCTGATAGAGCTTAGGTTGCCTGGAGTGGAGATTCAAGCTCAGCATCAGAATTCAGAGTGTTCTTCTGAGGAAAAAGCCCAGGAAAAGTTGCCCTTGGAAGTAGAGAAGACAAGAGTAGGCAAGAGCATCTTGGTGCTTGGTGGGTTCCTTTGGTTGGAGCAGGTTGGGGCTGTACATTGCACATTGCTATTGGATCCTGAATATAACATTAAAAAAAAAAACTGAAGGAATTTCCAGCATATATGTCTAGTTCAAGAATATTCAGAACTCTTTTTCTACATTGGAGTGGAAGGAAGTATTGCTGTTCTTTTGGTGTTACTTTTGAAGCCCTCTCATGCAGACTCTTCCAAACTGAATCTAAACAATTTATATTTTAAAAACTGAAATAAAAATAGCCATATATTTAAAAAGACAAATTAAACAATAGTGTACAGTTGGGTTTTTCCCAGGTCCAGAACCTGAGCTCTTCTTGTCTGTTTTCTTCAAGTTTTACAAAACTGGATTACTGTTTGAAATGATTTAGACCTGATTTCACGAAAGACATATCTAACACAGTCAGATGTTTGTGCTACCCAAAAAATTATAATAATGCTACAAGAGTCAAATAGGCATGTAGCAATCAAAAGATTCAGTTGTTCAAACAGATAATTTGGAAACTAGTTTTGCTGAACTCTTACTGAGTCAAAGACAGACCCCTTTGACTTGGGTCAGAGTCAGATGCAAGATTTAAGAAACTAAACCTTTTCTCTTTGATATCCACCAAAAGTTGATCATGCATCATCCTCTCAGAACTATTATGCCTACTGGGCTCAGAGATATGACTGCAGGGTTTTAAATCTAGCTTTTCAAAATTCTTTTTAAAAATACCCCAAACCAAAAACTGTGTCAGGTGGGATTAGATCACATATGGGACATAATTGCTTTCTGTGAGGATGATTCCTGCCCAATTTCCAATATAGGCATTGAGTTTATGAAGGAAAGTAGACAGTTTTGGAGGATTCAAAAAAACAGGTTTAACCATGTTTACTGTTTGATGAATAATGCTGATGAAAATTGCAGTTATAGCAGAAGGGTCCTTAAGTAAAAAAAACCCTGCCAAATTATGGAAGGATTAGAATATGGATTTTGGAGCTGTGATCTCTCCTGATTAATGGCATATTACGATTAGAATTTCATTCCTCTTTCTTTCCCCTCTCTGAGGAGAAATAAATAATGAAAGTAGTACATTTTTGTAGACATGGAACCTGCTGTCCTCCAGTACCTCTATGAAGGAATGAATGTGCTAGTCTTGCTTAATTCTCCTTTTGTGATCTCTTGGGTTATGGGGTATAGTATTTACAAATCATAAGCCCATGGTAGCAGAAAACTAAACAGCTTCCCCACTTTGACCCATATGAGCCAGTAGGATTTGCAGGGTTATGATGACTTTTCTGTCCAGGAATCTCTTTTATCCTGTTCTTAATATCCATAGGCTTGTTATATTCATCAACTTAATCTTTTAAAATAATCTTTAGATATATTTTGGAAGTTTTCTTACAGTTGTAATGCTCCTATTCTCTGTTAATTCATTCATTGTAGACAACCCCTACAAGGAGTAGAAGACAAAATTACAAAATTGAAAGTCACTATGGTGGCATGGGACCGTCATGACAACTCTGTTATTACTGCAGTTAATAACATGACTTTGAAAGTTTGGAACTCCTTCACTGGCCAACTTACTCATGTTTTACTGGTAATGAGACAATAACTTCAGTTACTTTCTGCAAATAGCCCTGTCTTCCTATGGTATTGATAATCTTCAGTTAAAAACTAGGTGTTTTTACTGTAAACTTAGTATAGAATTTAATTTTCAAAATATTATACAGAAAAGCCTTGTTTTTTAAAAAAGAAAAGCATATAATAAACACATTCTTGAGCTTTTTGCATGATTTTTTTTGCAGATTTTGATAAACTTTAATCAACAGTTTAATGTATGTGTGCATGTAAATAAATATGTGTGCATGTAAATAAATAAAAACAATACTTTTTAAAGATATTGTATATATTGGAGACAAAAGCTAATTTACATGTAATGATAAACTAGCATTCTTCAGAATTCTAGCTTATTGTGATCAAGTAAGTATGTTAGTGTACACTGTTCACTTGATTCTTCTTGGTTGTTCCTGCTAGCAGGAGTAATTATATGAATCATGAAGCCTTGATAGTTGTTAGCATTGTATGAGAATCCCTAGATTGGAGGCCTGGTTTCAAGTTCTGTCTTTTTAGTAGAGAAATTGGCTAGAGATTGTGGTTTACATGATTATTAAACTATTGATAGATTTCCTCTGTTTGCATAGACATTCCTGCTGGTAGGACAGCCAAATTGGAGTGGTTGTGCATTTTACATCAGATTATAGTTGAGGATTCAAAGAACATTCACTACTAGAAATCCTACTATTTAATTATATTCTAGTAGTTCCTACATCTGAAGTTCCTACAGTACTTGCTGAACTGAACAGCATTTTGTTGCTTGAAATTTGTATATTGCAAATAGCAAAATCTGACAATTGATCGTTTTTTTCTATACTGTATTATTCCTTCTTATTTGTTTGTTTGTGGTTCTAGTAAATTGGTTCCATATCTTCAACTAAATTTTATTTTAAAAATTATTCTAGGGTCATGAGGATGAAGTGTTTGTCCTTGAAAGTCACCCTTTTGATCCCAGAGTTCTTTTCTCTGCTGGCCATGATGGAAATGTTATAGTATGGGATTTGGCAAAGGGAACAAAAATTCGCTCTTACTTCAATATGGTAAATATATTATTTATATTAATGATATTACAGAAGCTTGTTCTATCTTTTATTAATTTAATACAAAATGATAGAATTGTGTGGTAAATGTTTAAGCATTCATAGGAATTTGTTTTGTAGCTTTATTAATTTAAATGTTTTGAATAGGTGATTAAACATCTCAAATTATTAATAACAAAAATCACAACAATAAAATTTAATGCTGTTCCTGTTTGGAGCTCCTCTTTATCACCTGGGTAATAATTAATATATCTGAGTAGTTTAGAACAGCTAGCTCTAATTTTGTGCTCTCCCAGAATTTCCAGAATATCTGGAAGGTGCAGATTGAGGAATAATGGCTTCAGATTTTTCTTCATTCGTATTAGTTGATCTTGTGTGGCAGCCCATCCTGTTATGTATATTTAACCCCCAGACTATTCAGATCTGGTTTATAGCTTGGATTAAATCTGAACAAATGTAAAGACATCTTGGGCCTTCAGAAACAAATTAGGAAAAAGGTGGTGAAGTCCTCCCCCATCCCTGTCCAGTAGGTGATGAGGAGGAGCTTCATAGTTTTGCTCATTTAGTGTGAAGATCAGAATGGAGTGTCTTCATTCAAGGTGCACTTCAACCAGTGATGTTTATGATTAACCATAATTAATTATACAGCATATAATCAGAAAACTACAGTTTAGCATTTCAGAGCAAGTCAGGATCTTCAACTATCTTAGGAATCTGAATAGTTTGGAACAGAGGTGTTGTAGAACTTGGATCCAAAGTGAGCATTTTCCTGAGCCCATGCAGCTGCCTTATAGTTCAGGAAAAGATGTAGCTCTTTGAAGGAGTTGTTGACAGATACAGCGAGGGTGCCCACACCAGACCCAAAGCGTCTTTGCTTGCTTTAGATTCAAAGACTTCACACCTCTGCTTTGGAATTTGATAGCCATTCTTTTATGGTTTAGATGGGTCTAGGATATTGTAGGTTGCTTAGGCTTCCTGGATTTGCCACTGCTTATGCAAAAAATGAAGCAAATTAGCTCAATGTGCAGACAAAAAAATAGTTCATACCATGGTTTATTAAGCTAAGATATGATAGACATAGTCATGTTCTATTTGTCTAGAACAATTTTATTTCTAACAGTTATAAACCCTGAGACATAAAGAATCAGGACTATGTATCCCCTTTCTAGTTTGTACACATACTACTTGTGTCTTGATGAATTCCATATTTAAAAGTGTGTTGAAATGTTATAATTTTTTTGTTTAAACTGTCTTTGGATAGTACACTATCTACTAATTCAGAGCAAATGGGTTTTTGTAAATCAAGCAGAAGCTCAGACTTCTGGTGCACAAGGTAATTCCCCATCTCATTGTTACTGATGAAATACTTTGCATTTTTCATTTTGTTTTGTTTTGTTTTTTGTTGAGACATATATACATATGAATAGGCAAAACACAAAAATCTGTATTTTTAATCATAGGATTTTGCTTTTACAGAGTGTGGGTGTTATAAATTTGGTGTAAATGTAGCAGACAGCAGTACAATTTGTGGAAAGCCTTGTTTTAGACATGAACTATTCAACATTTTGATTGCTAATCAGTACTATTAGCACATTAATAAGGAAGCTTGTGAGATGTCACTTAACCTTAAGGCTGTACTCCTATTTAAATTCCACATAGAGGGGAGGCCTTTTGCATTAAATATTTACAGTAAAGATGTCCTAAAGGGAAGCTTGTATGCCAGTGACTAAATGGTCATAACCATATGGTTTTCTTGGCAACAGTGTGGAAGAGGTTTGTTGCTTCTCTCTTTATAATCCTGCATTCCCTGTTAGTCTCTCCCATCCAATCAGTAGTGTCCCCATGCTCTTGCTGCTATCATCAGAATGACAAAAACAGTTTTGCAAGCTCCACCCCTTTGAGGCAGATGTGCACATAACACAAATAGAAAGGAGGCTTGCGCTGTGACTCTGCCTATGTTACTCTGGCTCCCTTGCCTTCCCCCGCATGGAGCACTGCATCCAAGTACTATCCAGGCCTGACCCTGTTTCATCTTTCAAAGTCAGCCAGATATGCCAAGTAAATGTGCATTGTCTTCACCTGCAAATGTAATATGAAGTTGAACTTATTAAACTGGGCAATCAGATGTATTTTCTGAGTAAAATTATCCTGTTTAAATAAAATTTTAAAAAAAACTGTAGTCCTTTACCACCTCACTTAAAAATAGGAACTCTGAAATATGAAGTAGAAAAATGTTCTTAATGATTTTTTCCATGGAATCTACACTGTCAGTATAGATTATTATAGAGGAGAAATATGCTTCACGAACTCATCTGGATGCAAGTCATAATGTATCTGTTGACTTTAGATCAACTTTGCTTGTTTTTAAAAAGTTTCTTCGGAAGTGGATTCTGTGAAAGGGGCCACTGTTTAAGAAATAGCAAATTTAATAAAATGCTTAGAGTCAAAGCAGATAGGTAGGCTTTTGAAATATGGAGAGCAGAACTACATTAAAATGTTGCCCTTATAATGGATAACTATAACCGTATATTTTACTTATGTTAGTGGCAGTAGAATAGATTAAGCCTGCAATATTTCTTAAGATACATCTTTTATATTTTAATTATGGCTTTACAAATAATTTGAGTTATTGCAAGCTTTTATTTTTTAAAAATTTGAACACTTCTTGGTTTCTTCACTGCTTTTTATATTTGTACACTTATTCATTAGATCACGTTATAATAATGTTTTCTTAAATTTCAGTGTAGTAAGTCAGTAATAGTAGTAGTCACTATTTATTACATTTAGAAAAAAAACCAAAGTAAATAGTTTACATATATGAGATGCATTCAGTCTTAATAAGCTGAGACATGAGTAAGCTTCCTGTATGTAGACCTCTTCTCTTCCTTTTGTGTGAATATGTGAACAAAACAAGAATTTGTTTGTTTCTTGATTCATGTTGTGGGAGAAGAAAAGGAGCTTGTTGATATATCAATTTTAGTTTCTAAACATGACTTTAAGAACCTATCTAAGGAGTGTCCATAAGCAGTGCATTATTACTGAAAAGGTGCTCCTCCTGGACTTTATTCACCAATCAGTATAGAAGATATAGTGAGGCAATGAACTTGGTAGAAGGCAATTTCTTACCTTGTAACTCTTTTAATATGAGAAGAGCATGTTAAGGGGGATTTTATTCATGCGAGAAGTTAAACATTTTCATTTAATTTTTTTCATCACAGAAAAGTCAGGGTGTACATAATTTTAAGGGATGGGGAGAAGGCCCTAAACCTTTCCTATTATTCTGCATCTCTATTTAATATATTGTGTACAAGTTAGGTCCCAATTCAAAGTTTTAAGTTGTGTGACAGATTGGACTGGGAATTTTTGGTGCTTGTTGCAATTTTTAAACTTCATATTATATATTAGTGTAGTATAATGAGACCTAGCTGCTGCTGCAACATTTTTGCAGACTTTTTTTTCTGATTTGCTAGGATTAACTCCAGAGTAGGCAGAAAAGCGCATATAGCCTTTATACAAAATAGGTGCACTGCAACAAAACCAACATAATTCAGTTCCTGTCTTTTGTTTTAGAGAGGTAGTGAGAGAAAACAAAATCCTTTCATTTTATTGATTTGTTGAAGCTGTATTGAAATAAAGTGATGTATTTCCTCCAAATTATTAAAAAGTAGTAAACTAGATACAGCCTGTCACATTGCATAAGATGCTGTATAGAAGGCCTATCTGACCATCAGCAGCACATTTTCATAGGCAAAAAATGCTGCAATTGTAAGGGCTTTTTGAAAGCCCTGGTACACAAGAAAAAAATCCAAATATGTCCTATTCTTCCTATTTGAGATTGTGCATGCGTGTGTGCGCGTGCGTGTGTCTTTGAGTCATTCTTGACTCCTGGCAACTACACGGACAAGTCTTGGAAAGAACAGTGAATAGGAAGTTTTTTCTAAACCTGTACTGTGTTACTTGGAAATCAGTTCCATTTGATAAAAGTAGAAATATGGGCAAGTAATGTCTCTTTGTTACTTTGATTTTTTGTTTGTTAATTTGAAGCACATCTAATTTTGTTGCAAACTTCTATATATTGAGATATAATCTAGGATTATTAAGATCATAAAGTTGTAAAATATCTGGATCTGATAAAATATATAACCTAGCACTTTATTTGCTCAGGACCTTAACTTCATAGTCAGACATAGGATTGTTTATTACTCCTTTTTTCTGGGATTTTAATGCTCAGTTGTTAGATTATTTGTACAAGGAAAACTTTATTCCCTTTACATGCATTTCTGCTTCATAGCTTTTCCATAGATAGGAGGAAGAGATATTTGCTTACTGCTACCAAACCTTTTTGGCAACTGGGAATATTAGTAGAGTGTTTAGGGTATGAAAGTTCAGAGTGGTGATTGGTCACCTGTGCTTGATTGACAGGTTACAGGGAAAAACAAAAACCCATTTGTTCTGGATTAATGGAAGTGGAAAACAGAAAATAAGTATCAGGTAAAATTCTTTTTAAAATATTTGCAGTTCTTTAGATGAGTTGCAAGCAGTCAAATATAGAACTTGTATTAAACTGAATAAACAACTAGTTCAGCTATGTACGTACCATCTTACTGCAGCTGGAAACACTGGGCAAGTGTAAATTATACAGAATTCCATTTCTTTCTACTAGAAAGGCAAATAACTATTAATAATTGAATTCTGGGTAAAGTTTTTGATTCAGGTATGCAAAAATCAAAGCAAAATAAGATAAGGCAACTGTTCTGCTAATCAAGGATGGATTTTTCCCCCTCTTATAGCTTTTTATTTTAATAGTCGATTAAATAGCCTGATCCTAAACATGTTTACTCTGAAATAAGTTTAGTGAGATATGTTTACTCAGAAGTTAATTCGATGAGTCTTGTTTATAGTTATTGACCTTTGGTTTGCTACATAAATTAACTATGTAATGGAGAATACTATACACACCCATAGACCCAACACATCATTCCCCTTCAGGGTAAGCAATATTATGCAAAGTGCAGAAAGAGAGTAAGAAATGTAAGTCTAAGAAATTGAAGGCATGAGATAAGAATATGAAATGTAGCTAAATCTGGTTTATACCAACACCATTCATGAAACTTCTCTGTGCCTTCCTATTTTTGTAAATCATCCTTACTTGTACCACCTCCATATACCACTTCATACATTGCCTTTTGTTCTTTGAACTTCTCACCTCTTTCTTTTTAAGGATTAACTCCATGCATCCATTACTTTCTTGGTGTTCCCCTTCCTCTTGACTTATTCAATCTTAGATACATTTTGTCTTCGCTGTTTACTGAATAAAGTATAAATATACTCAGTTAATTTTCAGGTTTCTTAAACTATCAAGAAGATACCAAATATAAACATAGTTTTCCAGATTCTGGGTATTTGATTTCATTTACAAATAAAAAAGTGAATGATAAGTTGATTATTGTTTCTATCTAATAGGATGCTTCTTTTTAATAGGTCATGTCACATTTTGAAAATGGGATAGATTTCTAGTATTTAGTACTAAATTTGTGTGCTGCTGTATTTCAGATTGAAGGACAAGGACATGGGGCTGTGTTTGACTGCAAGTGCTCTCCTGATGGTCAGCATTTTGCATGTACAGATTCTCATGGACACCTTTTAATATTTGGATTTGGTTCCAGTAGCAAATATGATAAGGTATTGTACAGAAAACTGCTTAATCTATAGTTTTTGCATAAGAGTTACAAGCTACTTTTAACCCATTGACCATATAGATTTCCAGTATGACTGAAAGTTATATTCAAATTCTGCTCCATTACATTCAAATGAAATCTTAGTGTTTTTTCTCTTATAATAAATGGCTCAGAAATATGCTTTTGAAGTTCACTGACATCTCAATGCGCTTTTGTTATGTAATGTTGAAGAACAGATATTAGATACGCTGTACCGTTAGAGGAATGTTTGGTCATTGCTTTTAGAGAGATGCTATGTCCTAGGCTGGAGATGGGCAACCTAATGTCTTTCAGATGTTTGGGAGTTAAATTCTAATTAATCCCAGCCATCTTGGCTTAAATCTAGGGATTTGGTAAATTGTAGTCCAAAATATCTGGAAGTGCACAGATTGCCCATCCCAATTTCAGGGTAGAACTATTCAGGGTAGACTTTTAAGGTTTTGTTCCACCGTATCAGATGAACTATGTGAACTCAACTGTTTTGATTTAATCTCTAACTGCTGTTGGTAGAGCAGGCATTTTTCACCCTACCCAAATGTTTACAAGCATTCATCTGTTCTATTCCATTGATCTGACCACTTAGAGACTCTTCAGTATAGAAAAGAAAAAAAAATAGTTATTTTGTCTCCAATCTCTCCAAATGCAGGAATAGTGTAACCAAAGTTCTTTCATCTTCTGCTCTACTTTTGGTTCCTACTGAATATCTTTCTGCACATTGGTGCAGATTTTTAGGAACATTCCTGTTACTTGGTCCCCCCCCATCTTTTTTTCTCCTTTTCTCAAAACACTTTGTTGATCTTCCTTTTTCACCTATTTTTGTGTATTCCTTCACCTTTTGAAAAGAAAATCCTTCTCATTGCACACTCTGACCTGTCCAGTTGTTCCAATATGAAAAGCTGCTTCAGGAGTCTTTTGACAAGAAAGTAAAATATTATTAGAATCCCCATAAAACAAATTGGGTTATCGTTTCAAGAGAAACTTGTCATATGTTCATACCTCTAATTTGAAACAAATGATAGAGGATCTTAGGTGCTTTGTTGCACGTCCCCCAATTTTGCCGTGAACAGAGATCTGAACTGCTTATCTAATATGGATGGTGCTTTGGTTAATCTAAATTCAGAGACTCTCATTTCTCAAGCCTATCAAAATGTCAGAACATTGAAAAAGCAGTTCATGTCATGTAAAAAAAATACATAATAGCCACCAAATGATGCAAAAATAAATACATTTTTTTCATTTCTGAGATTGCTTTTAAAAAAATATCCTGATTCAGAACAAAATCAGGACGTTTTTGGATCAGGTGAGAACTTTTTCTGAGATTGCCTTTCTTTTGCAAAGACAGTATGTTCAAAATATAAAGAAAGGAATTACTTAATGATATTTTAGGAGCTTCAAAAATAAAAAGAATTTTAAATACTTTCACAAACTGATCTATCTTCTCCATGCAGAAATAAGATGATTGGAAGAATCAGGTTCCAATTCTAAATCCAAACATCCTCTAGTAACTGAGCTCCAGTCTGACTGAGACTCTGGATCCTCACCTTCTCTAAAGGGGCAAAAATACATAAACAAACAAATAAATTCCCATCTACAAAATCCTTCCAACTTCAAAAAAGAATCAAGAATCAAATCCTAATCAGGATCTCTCTTCTGCCCTCAGTTTATGAAGAAGAATAATTGTCTGAGTGAGTTATACGCATAGAGGATTTTAAAAATTTTAAATTGTTTAATCATACTCATTTTTTAACTTTTGTTATCCAAAATCACATTATCCTTATATATGAAATGTCATTTTCCCCATATCTTGGAAACTGTATTTTATTAAGTGCTTTTTAATGGCATAGTTAATTCGGAATGGGCTAAATCTCTAAAAGATAAAAATAATTTTAAAACTCTATTTTGCTTAAAAATTCTGTAACTGAGGAGAACAGG